CCGGGACACCCCCCCCGCCCCCGGCAACCAAGGGGCTCGGCGGAGGCCCAAAACGCGGGCTGGGAACAAAAACGAAGGTCGCCCCGCGCAGCGCTGCTCCCGGGCCGGCAGGACCCCACGGCCTGACCGCGCTCCTCCGCGCCTACCATTCCCAGCGCCTCGGGTCTAGCGGCCAGGCTTCCCCCGCCTGGACCTCAGGAGGCGGGAGAGCGCATCTCCCAGCCGGAGGATGCTCGGGAGATAGCTGTCAGTTTTGCACAGACCTCCCTCCTGCCACAAAGGGGAGAACGCGTGGGTTACACGGCGTGTCGGATGAACCGGAAGCAGTATCCATGCCAGGATCTGCATTTCTTTCAGCATAAAAACTGGAGATCGCTGGACTCCTTCCCAGCTTGCTTTTTTCCCCTCCCATTTATCTTCAGTAAGCATCTGGCCCTTAACACCTGAGCACTCCGCGGTTGGCAACATTTGTTCTCCCAGTGAACTCGTAGAACAGACCGATATACTGCTACCCATTTGGCAGATGGGATCCGAGACGCACCAATTGATTTTTCCCAGCACTGCACCCACGGAAACCCATGGACAGGGCTGAGCATAGGTCTGCCAATCCCCCGGTTAGACAAGAGGACTATGCTGATGCTCCAGTGCTCATGACACAGAGATAAAACCAGCTCAGGCAGGTTGCCCCTCTGATGTCTCTCTTCGTGACACCTGGTACTCCAGAGACTTCCCAGGCTTTTGCAGCAGAAAAGCCAAATTACAGTGCAGTAACACCTTGCATCCCCATGTGCTCTCCTTTGCATGAATATGCCCAATTATAGTTTACACTCAAAAAAAAAAAAAAGAAAACCAACACCTAGTGGGTTTTCGTTATGGGCTTCTGCTTCTGCTACTGCACTGCTCTGCAGGCAGCCCGTGCTGACCCACACCGCTCTTCAGTTTCCCAATTTCACTACTGCAAACCGACCTCTGGCTCCATGCCTCCCTTTCCCTTTCCTAATGCAGTAGAAGGCTTGCAGGAGCGCGCATCCCAGCCCTGTTCGCTCCTCCAGCGTGAAAAGCCTGAGGTCAAGACACCAGCAAGCCCTTATGTCCCACCAGAGCATGGAGGCAGAGAGCCACGGGCCAGCCGCCCCGCACAACCAAGCAATCGACCATGGTGTGGGGTCCTCTGGGAAGGAGCCAGCCTCCACAGCTGCAGCCCGCAGGGCTCCAAATCAGAGTCCGCATTTTTCTGAGTTATCTCATCCTCTCTGCTAACTTGTATCTTATGATACTACAGGTTTACAGGCAATATTGTAAAACCAGGGAAAGTATTGGATTTTTTTTTTTTTCTTCTTCTTCTTCTTCCTCCCCTATTACAAACCTGAGATTCTGGAACATGATTCTGGGCCAAGTGTAAATTCCATTTCAAAGCAGCAGAAAACACAGTGACCTCCTTATACCTTTGCCATGACAAAGCACCAAGTTTCAGCAACGTGCATCTCATTCACCAGACCTCTGCAAATCACTCAGGATAATCTCCTTATTCTCTCCACTTCACTGTTGCATTCACCCAGTCTCCTCTGTGCCATAGTGGCAACTTCTTGCTTCAGATCTAGGGCACAGACCTTCACGGTGAAGAAACATCATGCTGCCGTCACCCCACTGCTGTTCACCGGATGGCATCATTTCTAATCCACTTTGGCCTTCACCTTAGGAACCTCTAGAAATACTTGCCATCAAAAAGAATCCTCTAAGGAAAAAGAGGTGCCCAACCATGCACCGAACCCTCACTTGCACTGCCTCCCACCACCCAGTTGGTACAACTGCTTTGCTCATGTGCCAACAGAGTGGGAATTTCCTTCAATGTGATCTACTGCTGGTCTCCATCTTTCATCTCCATTGTAGGCCAGAAAGCATCTCCTCCCCCGTGCTTGGAATACATCCACCTTTGCTCCTGTTTAGTGAAAGAAAAGCCCCAATTTCCAATGGATGTGCTCGGGCAACAAGAAATGCAGGTCTGCAGGAGCTCCGATTGCTGCGAAAACATCTGAAATGAACATCTGATACGGAGTTTCAAAAGCTTCAAGAATACCATGGAAAACATGATCAGACTTGATAACACTTGAGGTCTTTGTTATCTTGGGCTCTACTGGAGCCCACAAAGCAACACCTAATAATGAACAAGACTGATAAAATTAATGGGTGAATCTGTGCGACTCACCTTTCCTCACTGAGGGTTGGGGGTTCAGATGTCTCATGGCCAAGTGAAATCAGTTTGGTGGGCCTCCACTTAGGTTCTCCTACGTGCAAATCGTGGAACCACTGCCCAATTTACTATCACCATTTGCAACCCTCTACTGAGGAAAATCAAAGACTCAAACTGCAGAACATGCTGCTGAAAACAAGAGAAGCACGAGTAGAGCTGAAGGCTGGAAGACTGAAGAACATACAGCTCAGAGCCATGAGATCATCCCTTCCTACTTACTGCATTTATTCAAAAAGCAACGTATTCAGAACAGCTCTAGATGCCAATACTTACGAGTTCTCATGACTTCTCATGCATCACAGGCACATATGCGTTGAAACTTCATTACCGTGCTGTAGAAGTAGCATTCTGAAATAACTATGGGCAAATTTAACTAGCCTGCCTCTGCAGTGCCAGGGCACAGCTTATCATCCTTACCACGCCAGGCAAAGCTCATTGCTCCCATCCGAGCACGTCTGCGCCACTTTTCTATCCTCTTCTGTGTTCACCCGGATGTACATGATGGTTTTTGGTTAGCTCCTATCACTCAAATCCTAATAGAAGATAAGCTGGAGAAGGATGTTTAAGCAGCAGGCGCTGGGGCAAGGCCACTGAAATCACACTGGTGAGAGCACAGATGAAGAACTAACCTCTAGTTTGACTAAGTGGTCTACACGTACATTTTCAAACGCTTGGGTTAGTTTAATACCCATAGGACAGGTAGAAATGGAGAGAGAGGAGAAAGCCACAAGTACTCTGCTTTCATCGAGTTTCAGGGTTTGTCTTCCTTTTTCTTTTGCTATGCCTATAATTCCCCTTTGCTGCTAAGGTGGAAAGAAAGCACAGCCTTCGATTTTAACATCCCATTACCTGCATTTCTGTGCTGGCTCAAGTTTAGACAGAGCAAACCTGCCAGCTGGATCAAGGCCAGAGGGAAGAGAAAAAAAAGTTTCAAGTGCAAAGAACCAATTTATCAGGAACAAATCTTAACAACCAAAAGACACACTTCTGCTGGTGGATTCTATTCATGTGCGTAATAAAAACCCCGGTACAAGGTAACCTAACAAAATACTCTTTAGTGGCTATCTGAAGTATCTCGGGGTAGATAATCTTCAACCGCCAGTCTACATTTCACGTTTTCTGGATAAATTTGGTGCCTGTGAGGACAAGGAATGCTGACACTGAATAGCCAAGGACTGTGCAGAGAACATCATCTTTCACTTGGCTCCAAAAGTATTTGAGCCCGACCCACAGCCTCTGGCTTCTCCAAGACTCCACACACCAAGCCAGCAAATCTCACGTGTGCTCCAAATATAGCCCCCTCCCCCAGCAGAGGCTGCAATACAGGCTTTGCCCTGCCCCGAGCGCTGCTCTCAAACCCACCCTTTCCTATCACCCTACACATCCTTGCTGGACCTCCAAAAGCGAAAAGGTGACGAACAAGACTTTGTCGGAGGTTTTGTGGGTGGTTTCAGAGGAGGGAGGAGGAAAATAGGCGAGGAGCTGCTCCCGGTGGCTCGCCATCCCTGCAGGACGGACTGCAGTCACACGTATAAGTCACATGCGCCTGGACAATGCAGTAAGGCACGCAACAACAGACTAGTTTGCAGAGCATGGCATTGCTGTCAGCTCAACCCCCCTACAAAAAAAAAAAAAAGAAAGGCAAAAAGGCAAAAATGCAAACCAAAATACACGAGTCTCAAACAACACAGACCTTGGAGTTAAAGTGTCAAACAGTACTGCTCGCGTGCATGAGCCTCAAAGCCCTCTTTAGAGCCTCCGGGCTGCTGAGGCCTGGGTTGCACCAAGCCAAGGAGCCCAGCATGGAAGTAGTGTCCTTCTACAAAAGCAGCACGTAAGCTCCAGTTTTGCCCAAAGAACATATAGAGCAAACACCAAAACTCTATAAAGTCGCCACTGTCCTTTTGCTTACCTGGACGACTGGGTATTGGTAATCCATACAATACACACCATACATAGCCAAAGATCCTCCAGCTAAAGGCCAAATGGACACAGGACTGGAAGCTTCAAACCCGAGTCTCCGTCTTTCAGCCTTGTGGGAAGGACTCTGGCAGCCCTGCGCAGTGTTTGGCTCGGGCCTCTGGGGCCACTCAGGTTGACACTAGCTCAGCTGAAAATAAAAAGGAGCTGCCTGGCTCGGCTCGGCTCAGCCCCTCTCTTCTGGGATCCAGCAAGGCAGCGCTCAACCATAGGCAGCAGAGGCTCCTAAAATTAGAAATCCCCTACTGAAAACGGCCCTGCAAGCCTCGACTGAGGAGTGTCCTGCAACTCCCAGGCAGCAAACAGAGCGACTGCCGGGAAGAGGGGGACACAGGATCTTCGCAGCCACCACCGCCAGGGATGGGAGGAAGCAAACAGCATTTAGGATCTGAAAAGAGCATATGTTCTGCGCTCTAGGTGCGTCAGAGGGAACACTCCCAATCCAGGACAGGGAAAAACATATGGGACTGTTCCTCCCCCACCCCCATACCCTTCTTGCTGTCCTCAGCAGGGACAGGTGCTGGGATTAGCATAGTAAAACCCTTTGGTGTCGGGGAGGGAGGGAGTGGGGAGAAGCCACATTGATATCTCACGCTGAAGGGATCTCTTTCACGAGGGAGTATGCGCCCATATCGTTTAACGCCTCTCCCTCCCTCCACACTTGAGGCGGGCAGGGACAGCTGCCGGAACTGGGGCTGGCGGGGGGAGCTGGGCCCAGGCATGGCCCCCACCACCCCAGCCTTGGGCCAGCGGGTTGCCCCCCTCAGCTGTTCCAGTCAAACTGGGGGTGAGGGGATTAACTCTTCCACAGGGAACTGCGAGCAGTGGGGAGAAGGGGGTAAGGCTGGGCAGGGCCAGTTGTTGTGCCCGTTTTAGGAAGGCCGTCCCTCCCCGTTCCCAGGGAGGAATCCACTCCCTGACTGACGGGGACAGATGGGGAGCTGCCTGAACAGAGGCCGGCAGGCTCACCCCGTCGGCCCTGCGTGCCGTACGCGTTATCAGACACCTGAGTGCCCGCTGCTGATTCTTAGAAGACACACCGTGGCTGGGGGGCGCCGGGGGGGCCCAACCTCCCATAGCAAATCGCATGTGGTTTCACCCATCGCTACGCCAAACCGCACCTGGTCGACACTGGCCCAAACCCAGGCTCCCAAAGAGTTGACAGCCCAAAACCACAAACAATTCCCACCGTCCTCCAAAGGAGAGCAGTGATAAAACCCCTCCCTCCGAAGCTTCAAAAATGAGGATGTTACAGTGATCAAACCCAAGAAGGGGTATCCAAATTTATCCCACCTCCATTTTAAATGCATACGGTGGGGTTTTTTTGCATTTCTGATCTTCAGCTTTTCTGTAGCGCTGCTGTGCACCACTAAACAGCTACCTCAGCCTAGCTCTGGGGTAGCTGCCTTTCCATCATTACTGGTAATTTCCTCCCCCTCAGAAGGAGTTAAACTTAAGGTTTATTTTTTTTTCAAGAGGTTAAATACATGGATCATTATCTAGCACAATCTGCATGCAGGGCACTTTGTAATTTAGTTAAGGGGTGCCTAACCTGCAGCCCTCTGAACCACCCAGCCCTGCAGGACAGCTCTTGGCTCATCCTCTGCTCCCACTGCCCTTTCTTTCTGAGGCGCCTTGGAAAAGGACAGCTATGAGCTGGGTGAGTGGTTACGGCAGCTGCCGCCCACTCTCATCATCTTTCCTAGGGCAACAGGGCCGCTTCTTCCTTACAAAAAGAGCACGGCCAATTTGGGGAGTATAAAGCATGACATTTTCTACTTCAAAAAAAAACCCAAACCACAAAACTTTCTATAGCCATTGTTTCTGTGTGAAGATTTGCACAGAGAGAGAAATTAATTGCCCATAAATGGGAAAGCAGCTATGCTTCTAGAGCTCTTCACTGGGGAAAAAGGATGAAGCTCTCACAATGGAGTTTCATCTCGTTCTGCCTTTGACTAGCTTATTTTGCCCCAGACCCAGACCAGCTTTCTGGAGCTCACATCGTGCCTCCTCCGCTTCACCTTCAGAGGGTTGTCTGGCCGCCTCTCAGCACTCTCCCTGCAAGCCCCGCTTTGGGGCACAGACAGTATCTGGTTTCCTCTGAACGGCCAATACTTTTTTTCTTCCTTCTCTTTTCTGTAACTACATGTTCAATAGGTGCCTGCCCTTCATTCTTTTGCATAGCTCGTTACTATGCACTCAGGCAATTTAGTATCTCCAATAACATCTTTTTATGAAAAGACATCAATTTATAAAAACCCGAAGTCTTTTCCACAGCCTGTTTTTGCTACTCCATATTACTGCCCCAGGTTTTAAAACCAAATCCTTAACTAAGTTAAAAACCTTACATTTATTTCACAATTCAATTCTTGTCATTTCCAACCAGGCCTCAGGGGAAAAAAACGTTTCCAAGTCCTAGTGCAGATATCTTACTATCTATAAATAACCATCAAATGAGCAAAACAAAACAAGGAGGGGGAGCAGGGAGCACTACCTAAGCTCTCGTTTTAACTACAGATTCATATAGAACTGCCATGCTTTAAAGTTTTTGATGCAGATTGAAGTACTCTGCCTTAACCAGCATTAAGATACTCGGGTGACACTTCAGTAACAAAGCATCGCGCCTCCTGTGTCCCACAGAAAACTAAATGACAAAAGCTACTTTTAAACTTGCAGTGCCAAGATGGATACAGTAGGACTTTATTCACCAGTAATAAACTACTGAATTTTCTGCAAGGCTGGCCATAATGGCTGGCTTACTACTGCACATTGACTTGCAACAAATATTAGTCAAATATAAGATGGCGCTGCGCTCCATAATTTTATTTTGAGATAAAGGCCCAACTACATTACCATATAACCTGCTATGCACATCCATTTCCAGTAACACAAGTTAGGTAACTGTTATAAAATCATAGCCTTGTTCCTGCAAATGCTTACACATATGAATAATTTTTAAATTATATAAATATTAATACTGGAAAAGACCTCCTGACACACAGAATGAGATCAATTGCTATCATACAACGTCATCTAATCTTTTAATAAAATTTATCAGGCCACATCGTATAACTGGGTTTTGCAGCTACGCTACCCTGGCCAAAAGGCTGCTCTAGAACATCACTCCCCAGCAGCTGGGATCTGTGTTCATCTCCAGCTTAACGTTATTCCTGAGCAATTTCTGTTTTTTCTTTGTTCATGTGCCAGTACCATCCTCTGGCTTAACCGTATTTTCTCTTTCCCTTACAATTAACCTCCCTGATGTATCCCCCCTCTACCCATCTAAACAAGCAGCTGTTCCAGTCTTTTCTCACATGACAGACTTGCTATTTCCCAATCTCTAGAAGCCCTTTCTTGCACCTGATCTAGCCTGTGCTCTTTTTTTTTTTTTTAAAGACATTACCCAGAGCAACATGGTTAGCTCCTAATCCATTTCACAATTCCAGCACTAAACTCCATCTTCGCTAGCCTCATTCGTATTTTCCTCTGTAGCACCACATCACACGCTGTAGGACCCATCTACAGTAAGACACGTCATCCCATTAAGAAAAATGCATATCAAGTTAAAAAAATTGGCTAGAGACAGACAGGCTGATATGGCACAATCCTATTCTGATGGATTTGTGTTGCCTTTTATCTCATTTTTCATTTGTGTCCAAGCCTTTAATTACTATTGTTGTCTCAAATTTTGCATACAGCTGAAGTTGGACCAACAGGTCTGTATTTATTCAGATCATCCCCCACTGTCATTAGGGCTATTACGCTTCCTGTTCTCCAAATATCTGATAGCACTCCTGATTTGATAGATTAAAACTTGTATCAGATCTGCAACTTCATGAACTGGTTCCTTCATTTTCAGGAACAGGTACCGCTGTTCCCAAGGCAACCCTGCTCCCCAGCCCAGCCTGCATGCACTAGGGTCTTTGAAATGTCCAATGTGGTGGCTTCTACAGCAGGTTCATGCCCATTACCCATCCTGCCTTTGCTCCCATGATCAACTCTACCTCCAACAACAAAAGGTTTGTTCGATTTTGTGATCACGACAAGAGTATCCTCATTAACTACACTATCCTCAACACTAAGTGGCCCTACATCTTCCCTTCTTCTCTCTAATTGTATTTTGAGAAATCATCACCCATTTTCTTAGCAACATTTGCAAGGTTGGCAGTTCTCACTTTATCCCTACAGTTCCTGACTTTAAAGGCACAGCAGTCTCTGTTGATAAGTCCTCTTTCCACCCCTTGTAAACTCTCTTTTTGCACCTAATAGCCTTTATAAGGTGATTGTGCCTCCAGTTACGCTGAAGTTTCTTCTTACAAGCTTTTCCCCCTTTACTTGTACCATCAAGAATTTGTATCCAAAGTACCTCTAACAACAACAACACAACCCAAACCACACACCTCTACATTCAAGTTTCCAATCTAGTTCACTGACTTCATTAAATATTTTGCTTCATGTATCAAAGTTTGTATCATGATCACCCCATCCAAAGGTGGGGACATGGAGGCTTCTAAACAGCTTGTTTTCCTGTAATAGTCATAACACCAATAATTCACTCACTGTCTCAACAACAGGTGATGATGCTACAGTGTCAAAATCTTTTGACCCTATTATTATTAGCAGCATTTGTTCTCCAGGCTGTATCTGAGAAATTAAAGTTTCTCATACTAATATTTATCTCTCTAATGGTACTGGGAATAATATAATTTCAAGTTTGTATCCGAATCCAATCCTACAAGGGATTACAGCAGAATCACAGTACTCCCTCTGGGACCTCTTTTTACCATTCTTCCCCACGGCAATTTTGACCAGAAACAGATCCTGCATTATCAGTATTACTCTTCTTTCTTCTTTACAGTCTACTGCATACAATACAGCCTATCACCTTTTACATCTACCCTATCTGAACCACACATAATCTTGAATGCATGTTAAAGCCATGATTACTATTCTTGCAGATTGATATTATCCCTATAATATCCAGTTTCATGTTCTGCACCAGTAGCTCTGGTTCCTCTACTTGTTATTTCTAATGCCAGGAGCCTGAAAAAAACAACCCTGGTACGTTTGTGCATTTACCAATCACACAGCTTCCAGCTCCCTCAACTAAGAGTATCACCCATCTAGTTACTGCTGAATTTTATTATTCTTTTTAAAACATTGAATTTTATTGTTTTCCATCTCCTATCTACCCATTGCTTTGCCTAGAGATACTGTTTTACATGCTACTGTAGCAGCATTTACCTAATTTTCCTCTTTCTGTGTACTAAGCAAGGCATGAAGATTACACAAGTTTTTCCCAATGTTCTCAAAACCCAGTATTTTGCTTCACA